AAAAGTCCTTCAGGTAAGTTTATGTTTTGTTATTTCTAAAATAAAACTTCTTTAATTATATTTACTTGGTAGGTCGTGCATCATTTGGAAAAAAATCCTGATGGCGATTCGTACCCGGTGTTGCTTAAGACACTGAAACAAGTTTATCGAATTCTCAAGCCAGGCGGAGTGCTGACCATTATAACGGATACACCAGAAAATTTGGAAGGAAATTGGTTTGTACATCTTGTACCAGGAGCCATGAAGAAATGGCATAAGCTGTTACCCACCCATAAGCAAATGAAAGACATGCTGAAAGACTCTGGATTTACTTTGAAATCAGCTTTTAGATCATTAATGATGTCATACTTTCCTGTTTATGGAGACTTGGATGGACCACTTCATGAATCTTGGAGAAATTTGAATTCCTTTTGGGATGTCTGCACGGATACAGAAATTCAGAACATGGTCAGAAAAGTGACACAAATGAAAGAAGAAGGCACTCTCAAAAAGTACTTTGAAAGTCATCATAAAATTGATAGTACTGGAGCTTATGAAATTTTTGTTGTCAAAAAAGAATTGTAGGTGATGTATAATATAAAGCAAAAAAAAAAAAAAAAAAAAAAAAAAAAAAAAAGGGAGAAAAAAAAAGAGAATTTTTAAATGAAAATCATTTTGACTTCACGCTCACTATATTTTGTTTCACTGATAGTTTTTGTATCCACATTGAAAATAAAATCTATTTTAATTTTGTCAACTTGAAAGCCAAATTTTTAATTTTTTTAAATTATGCTGACTTCAATAATCAATCGTTAATTCATTTTTAAGCAAGTAATAATGCATGAAGATTTTATTACCTATTGTGAAGCAAGCAATAATGCAAGAACTCAGATGGATATTTTCACTATTGAATTTACCAAAGTCTGCATGGTGCAAAGGCTGATTAAATTCAATTACAGTACATACTAGTACACGTGATTGGTTGAGCTGAGAAATATAAGTCATTGGTGTCGGAACCGGCTTACCGGTGGGCCGGGGGAGCTTAGTCGCCCACTTTTTTTGTGCAAAGATAGACATAATAAAGGCATTAAACATTGGGGCGTAGGTTGGTTTTTTGGCATGTCAATATTTTTTTCAGTCTTGATTTTTTTTCATCTCTTTCAATTAGCTCCTTCCCCTCTTCAATTTTTTTTCCGACTCCGAGGTAAAACCAATGTCAAACGTAAAACTTTACACGATAAATTCTTATGAAAGTTTAGCAAAAATTTGATAATTAGCTAGCTTGCTTCACATATTTTTGACATCGACCCTATAAAGCGATGACGATGAAACGATGATCCTTAAACAGAATGGCATTGATGCGATGGTACGACAGTGCGATGACAATGATGTCATGGCACGGTGAAGACATAGCGCAAAGGTGCGATAGCAATAACATGGTGCAATGACAGTGGCGCGATGGTACGTTGACGATGAAGCGTTCGATATTTACTGTCGCTCCACCATGCTATCGCATTATCATCATTCTATATGTATTGCATTGTCATAGCAAATCGTCGCACTGTTGCTTCTTCATCATCGAAACATCGCTTTAGTATCGTCACATCATGTTGCCATCATCCTTTTTGATTTCTGGCCATTCTATTTCTCATGATTAAGGCAAAGAGGCTTCGTCAAAATTCTGTGAAGAAGCCGCTTGGCTAATTATCCAATTTTAGCTAATTTTCCAGAAGAATTTATCGTAAGTTTGTCGTTGCATTGGCGTCGGAAGCAAATTGAAAGTGGGTCGGGGTGGGGAGCTAATTGAAAGATCTAAAAATCGAACCGAAAACAAGAGGTCCAGTGGCCACATCGCTCACCTGAACAACTAGCTAGGAAAAAGCAACAAGAGGCCCATGGGACTATAAGTCACCTGAGTATCATGTAACAACTTTCCAACAATTGAATTTGATTCGTGTTTTAAACCAGAGGCCATGAAATTCACAATTTTGAAAGAGGCACCATTGCTTATCATAACTATACACTTACCATCTTACTTTGGTTACTTAATACCCAGAGGTAGATCAGAGTAACAAAGAGAAATGCATTTCCACTTTATCAGTTGTGCACCCCATCCCACAGGAACCACTGACCCTGGGGCAACATCTTTCAAAATTTTGGAAATTTTAAATTTTGTATCATCATGTTGTTGAGTAATATCAAAGCGCATATTTCAAAGCATTAAATTATTTCAAACTCTGTAACCCCCCCCCCCCCCCGTGCATCTGTCCCATGGGGCCCAGAATTAACCATTGTGGAAGAGGCAGCTTTCTTAGTCATAAATATGTACTGAGATCATTGGCTTAATACCCAGGAGCAAAGGAAAAGATTTCTAAAGAATTCATGCATTTTCATTATGTAAACATTAGAGCCCCGCCCTAACACAATAAGCCCTGACCCATGGCCCTGAAATTCACAAATCTTAAAAAGGCATCCTTCCTCCTCATAACTATGTACATAGTTCATTGGTTTAATAACCAGGTGCAGAAAAGAAGATTTTTGAAGAATTTATGCATTTTCACTATTTAAATTAATAGAGCCCTACCCTAACACCAAAGCCCCCAACCTAGGGGCCATAAAATGCACAATTTTAGAAGAGGCAGCCTTATTCAATATAACTAAGTATTCAGTTAGTTTATTTAATACTCAGGAGCAGAGAAGAAGTGTTTCAAACAAAAAATTCATTTTCACTATATAATTTAGCCCCGCCCTAGCACTAGATCCCCTGACCTTAGGTCCATGAAATTCACAATTTTGGAAGAGGCAGTCTTATTCAATATACAATTGGTCAGTTTATTTAATTTCTATGGCAGAGAAGAAGAATTTCAAAGAAGAAATACGCACGCTAACTGTCGATTCCCGCCTATATTTTGGAACCTTCAATATAAATAGCCATTTGGCCATAAAATCTTTGTTTAGTTCAATGATAATTGATGAATTGTCTTAATACCATCGCTAAACAGTAAATTATTCATAATCCCAGCTCTTTAAAAAGGGGGGTTAGACGATATTTTTTCATTGAAATTGAAGTTTCAAGCATCACCATATTTCAAAATAGTCTTGGATACGATTAAAATTAATGTTCCTTATATCTTTTCTTTTGTTTTAGGCAAATAAATAAAACATAAATATACCAATGAAATATAATGTTTCAGTTGTAAATCGCTTTGAAAATTGTGGAAAATAAGCATTTTTATCGTTTTTGTCAATAAACATATGCCCCCCCCCCCCCCCCTGTCACACAAAAATCTTTGGTATGAATCTGTGAAATAACATTCCATATTACCTGTAAAAAAGAATTTTTGTGACACGGGGGGGGGGATGTTTTAAAAAGATTTTCCGTTTTCCGTTGATTTCTATAGTGAAAAACACAAGTTTTACCAAAATTTTAAAGTCATCTCCCTTTGTTTTCCTAAATAAGTAATGTTTTATGAAAATCCATATATTAATTATCTATAAAAAAAAAATAGTAAAAATTCATCGAATATGTAAACTTTTGAAAATTGACCTGGGGGTAGGCGGGAGAACAATACTATCGTTCGCAGTTCTCTATGCATTTTCACTGTATATAATCTATATAGCCCCGCCCTACCACTAGAACCTCTGGCCCTGGGGCCATGAAATTCACAATTTTGGAAGAGACAGACTTATTCAACATAATTATGCACTTGGTTAGTTTATTTAATGCCCATGAACAGAGAAGAAGAATTTCAAAGAATTTATGCATTTCACTATATTTATCTATATAGCCCCGCCCTAGCACTAGAACCGTTGACCTTGGGGCCAGTAAATTCACAATTTTGGAAGAGACAGCCTTATTCAACATAACTATGCTTTTGGTTAGTTTATTTAATGCCCAAGAACAGAGAAGAAGAATTTCAAAGAATTTATTCATTTCACTATATTATCTATATAGTCCCGTCCTACTGTAGCACTAGAACCCCTGACCAGTTTTGGAAGAGGCAGTCATTTTCAAGTTAACTATGCACTTCCTTAGTTCATTTAATGCCCAGGAGCAGAAAAGAAGAATTTCAAAGAAATAATGCATTTTCACTATATAATTTATTTAGCCCAACCCTAGCACTAGAACCCCTGACCCTGGGGCCATGAATTTCACAATTTTAGTAGAGAACTCAATGCTGATTACAGTCATACCAACAGTTTGAATGCTTAATGTCAAGGAGTAAAGAAGAAAATGTTTAAAGATTGCACTAACTTTAGTGCTTTTAGCCCTTACTCCCAGGCCCCAGGGAGGCAGAGACCATGAAAACCATAGTTTTTGTTCCCCTTTACCCATAGATGCTATATGCCAAATTTGGTTGAAATCGGTTCAGAGGTCTCAGAGATCAGAAGAAGCTGAAAATGTTCAAATGTTAACGCTTGACGAACGAGGTACGAAAACGGATAGCAATTAGTCACCTGAGATTACTCAGGTGACCTAAAAATCAGTTCAGTATTGAAAAGTTTAAATATAAAGGTGGGTTCAGGGGTTGGGCGGGGTTATTTGAACAAACTTTAATCTATATTTTTTCATGCTTTATATAGATGATCAATCATGGGTTTAATTTGCTGTTCTTGTGAAGAATTTTAATGATATTTCTTATGTATGCCTACATTAAAAATTAAATTGATGTGGCCCCACTTTAATTTAAGTATTTAATTCCGACCACAAACTTTTTTCTTTTGATTATCTAATAATATAGTATACAGGTCCTTGATTTATACAATAATTAATTTGGCAAAAAGTCTTTTCACTTGATCCCTTGGAAGTAGTAGTACGAATCTTAAATATATCGACCAAGATGTAGTGCTAGACTGGCTTGCCGATCCTCGATAATCATATATAGTCGTTTCGTAGGAATGAGACAGGAAATGCCTGTCTAGATGTTCAGCATGAAATGAAATCGGGTTTGGCATACAATAAAATCTAAACTGTGATACAATGTTTACAAAAAAAATAGTGAAAATTTATACTGGGAAAAATCATCTCAAGCAACGGTTCTGGAGTCCGCATATAGGTACATTTGGATCGTGATTTGTGACGATGACTAGGAAAAGGATTTACTACTTTTCGCTGACTCCATTCGATACCAAAGAAGCGTGTGCCCACCAGGTATATCAAAATAATGTGCATCATATACGATAAAAAAGGCTAGCATGTTTTTTCTTTAATTTAATCCATTGTAACAATGTTTGTCGTATTCACAGATTACAGTATTCTAATAATATCCCCCTTAGACAGGCCTGACCATTAACATGCTTAATTAAGGTGTGTTTGGTTTTGATGATTCATATGTCCATATCCAGATCTCTGCATGCCATTCGCTACAGTAGTTACATATACCAGTAGTAGTTAGTTGGCAGACAAATCTGGATAGAGAACGATCTGGGCGTGTTTGTACATTTAAAGAATGTAGATAGCATTTTACTTACTGTAGAAATAACTGTAAGACAATGCACTAAGATCCTGTATTTATATTCATAGACATCCCCCATCTCAATTGTTAAAAAAAAAATTATACATCTAAGATGTACATTTTTGCTAACAATTAAGATGGGGAGTGCCTATGATGTTATTGTCCTGTAACAGAAGGCTGGTAACAAAATTGAAAGGTCAGAGATGAGCAATATGCAATGAATGACTCAATATTATTAATGCAGAAAACTCAAAACTTCCAGAACAAAAGATTAAATTTACTTGAAATGGAGACTTTGGGATTAAGCAAACTTATCAGCTGCAGAAAAATAAAAGAAAGACGTTTTCAGGATTTTATGCCACAGTAGCAACATAATGTTTTACAACTAATTTTGACATATGACCTGACTACATCAATGTATAAATTCTCTTTAATTCAGCATTCCAAGGGGAAGAACTTGACCTCTACATTTGCCAGATCTCAATTTTTATGCCTTTTTCCATGGTAATTCTTAGAAGGAGGGTCTAAAATCCTTTGCCAAACATACTGATAAAGCTAAAAAAAAAAAAAAAAGAAACCATATACAATCTCAAATGAGAATTGTCTTATCAAAAAATGTTTGACAAGATTAGAAACATTTTAAAAAGCAACATTCTTCTGGAATTAAAATAGGTAAAGATCATTCAAAATATGTGGGTTCTTGACAAGATCTGAATTTCAGCTGTTGTTTCATATTTAAATAGCCAACATCGGAACTATTATTTCGTCTTTAATTCCGTCGCGGTTTTAATATTTAGTGTGTCTAACGAGATCTCGTTTTTGGCGTGAACTTGGGCAACATTTTGTAAACAAGGACGCGCTGCTGAACTTGTCATGTCTTATGATGTCAAATAACCGCGTCTTACCTACAAATAACCATGGTAAATTACCATTGTATTGCCGTGGGATGTAACAATGACTCCAGGAAATCTAACTTTATTAGTAAAAACCCGCATATGGTAGATAAAAATGGAAATGTTGTCACTTTTTATGTATTGCCGTCCGCAACTAAAAATCCAAAACTTCGGCGCCAGTGGATAAATACACACGGTACTAGGTCGTAAAAATATATAAACCTAGTAACACAGATCATTGGCACGCAGTATGCTCCAGACATTTTGTAGATGGAAGACCCACTGACACTAACCCAATACCAACTTTATTTGAATATAATAACTACATGCATGACCAGGCCCAGGGTAACAAGGAAAAAGGAAAACATTGAAACTTCAAAATACAAAAGTACTTCATCTTCCCAGGGGTTTGTATTTTAGCTTCTCGATCAATGATAATTTTACATAAAAATGTGAAACCCATATTTCTATTATCAGATTATTAGGCCAAACGAAAATATATTCTTGTTTCCTGTTCCCTGACCAAAAAAGAAATAGGGTAGGTAGGTAGGGAAAAAATTATTTTCAAAGCTCAATGGATGGAGAATATGTATCATGTAATAACAAGAAAACAGTATGTTTACACTTTACAGAGCAGGTTTATTAATAAAGATTTATAAAATAAATTAAGGTATCCTGTGCACTTTAGATGTATTAGCTCTGTTAATGTTGTTGGGTGACTTTAGTATTTCAGGAAAATAGCCCCCCCCCCCCCCCCCCCCCCCAAATGAATATAAAAAATAATTAGGGTTGCAGGCTAAAATGTTAGGGTAGCTCGGGTGACAGGAAACAAGAGTACATATTAATTTTTCGCGTAAAGAATATATTCAATATAATTTGCATGAATAATCAATATCTAAATTTCATTCAGAAACACACACACACAAGTATCTTTTTATATCGCATGAATTATGTTGTAATAAAAACTGTTAATCAAACATTTTACATGCAGAAATGAAAGTCACTCTGAAGGAAAAAAACAAAGGACTTCACAGACTAGTGTATTTGTCCAGCCAGTACCAGTGGCAGAGTTATATCAAGGCATACAGCATGAAATCATTATTCCTGACAAGGAAGGAGGAAAAGGTTGGAAGACACAGTTTTCTTAAAAATAACTAAATACATAACACTTCTTTGATTTTGTTTAAAAAGTTTGTCATTTATCTATGTTTTTTTTCTATTATCAGAAATGTCTGGATTAAAGAAACTTGCATAATCAATAATAACAAATATACCCCAAAAGATCATAACCAGTATATTTTCATATGCATAAAAATATGCTTTTGTATATGTATTTTTCTTTCACAGTTCCAATTACAACTGATACACCTTATTCCCTACCTGGTATCATGCAACATGACCACCCATATGTAGCGAGTCCTATGTCAGGTTCATCTCATCTTAGTGACACAGACTGGGCAGATGCTGATACCCAAATAACAAATTTGGAACATGAAAATAGGCATCTGAAGGTATTTTTACAGCAGAGCAATTGTTTTTTTTAATTATTTCATGTTATGTCACATAAATACATGTACAGGGTGTTTGAGCAAATATGTATTCTCTATTGTTTTTAATGTTTGTTTAAAAAAAATTTAATGTGTGCTTAACTTTGTAGGTTCATTGTGAACAACTCGAGGAGAGGATAGTGGCTTTTCAAGAGGAAAACACACAACTGAAAAATCAGTTAAATGAAAGTGAAAGACAAAGAAAGGAAGTTGAATCCAAACTTCTAAACAAAGACAAACTTTTCCGAGAGATTTTAATAGATAAACTAACGAAGTGTGACAACCATGTAAGACTTTTTCTTGGGCTGCCTTCTCTTCTGTTTTTAAAGGGTTTGTTCGACATACTGAATGGCGCAGCTTCCAGTATGAAGTATTGGACTCGTAGATCATCAAGTCATGAAAAAAAGTGGCACTCAGAAAATTTAAGGAGACCTGGGAAACAAAGAAAACTGCAGTTATTTGAAGAATTCATTTTGGCACTACTTCGTCTGCGTTTAGGCCTGAACACCATGTTCTGTTCAGTTTTGTTTGGCGTGTCTCAGTCCACAGTTTCTTCCATATTCACCACATGGATGTGTTTCCTAGATCAGCAATTAAAACCATTACTTAAGTGGCCATCAAGGCAAAAAATAAAAAAGCATATGCCTCTTTCCTTCCGTTTAAAATACCCAAACACAAGAGTCATAATTGATGCAACAGAGATCTTTGTTCAACGTCCAAGGAATCCTTCAGCTCAGAGCAGAACTTGGTCAAATTACAAAAACAAGAACACTTTCAAAGCACTGGTTGGGATTTCACCAAATAGGGCCTTTACATTCATATCTGAATTATGGTCTGGAAACATTTCAGATCGCAGCATTACTCTGAGAAGTGGATTTCTAGATCTTATTCAGCGAGGTGATCATGTTATGGCAGATCGCGGATTTCTAATTAATGACCTCCTTCTTCAAAGGGGAGCACAGCTGAATATGCCACCATTTTGTCGACCATGTCAGTATGGAAAAGGCAAATACTTGACATCTAAACAAATTAAGGAGTCAAAAAACATTGCCTCATTGCGCATTCATGTGGAGCGTGCAATTCAGAGACTGAAAAGTTACAAATTCTTTGATGGTATTATGTACATAAAATCATTGTCTGTTGCAAATCAAGCCTTACAAGTAGCGGGTATTTTTTGTAATTTTATGGCTCCCCTTGTCAGCAAAGTTCAGAAAAAATAAGATTTTCTAACTAAGTAAATAAAATACCATGATTATTGTTTGCAAGTGCTATAACATTACAAGTGCAACAACTTAAATTTTGTTGCAAAAGTTCATTCTTTCACATTATTTATTTGATATTTATATAGTTTACTGTTTTGACTGAAGGAAGTTTTATGTTAGTGTTATTTGTTATGTACTGTTATATTGACATATCTATTATTACAGATTTACTGATTAAAAGTTTATATGAAGGACAAATCTTTTTTATCAGTGTTCCGTAATGCTGCACTAAGTCTGCAATATTCAAAGCATGTAGGAAAAAAATGACTGATTTGGATATGTTTTTGAAAAATTTCTTTAATTGCATAATAATAAATTCAACTGATGATAATTTTTGGAAATATAAATGTCTTATAAAACTTGACAATTTTTTGTTTCATACATCCCCATATTTGTCCATTGAAGAACACTCTTTCAGAAAAAATTCCTGAGTGTGTGTACAAAATAAAATCACAATAGGTACGCTTTGTAACAGCCATTTGACACATCATTTGACAATAATATGGTGAGTTACTGTTTTTCCTTAAAACAGGAAATCCATTTCTTAGTTCAAAATTTTTTAAATCACATGCTGCTGCCTCCTTTGGGTTTTTATCTTTATACTTGTATGGACATTTAATTTCGAGGCACCCTGGTAAACAACAATCACACTCTAGTAAACCATCTGGTGAGGCACCAATGAAAGGAAGCTCATCATCGATTATCAGGCCTGCACTGGAATATCTTAGATTAGTGTGAATTTTCCCATTTAACTCCAAATACATATCTCTACCTTTTGCTTCATATTTTCTACCATGTACAAGTGCAGGAATACAATTAGATTCTGAAGTAGCATATTTTTTACAAAGAATTTGTGTAACAAGGCTACCATTTTCATTCCGACCACTGAAATGCAGGCAGTTAAACACAGATGATGCAGTGATGCGACCTGCTCTTTGATGATGCCATACATCTGATGAGTTTTGACCAACTGTACATTTTGAAATTTTGACTGCAAGATTTCTGTCAAAATAAACTCTAAGACCATCAACAAATTCTTCAAAGGAAGCATTTGGATTCATCACATAAAAATTTTGAGCAAATTCAGTCACATTCTCACACACACTTTCTTCAAATTCATACTCAGAATCAGAACTATCAGATAGGGTATATGCTGCACATGCAGCCAATTTTTCTGCTTTTAAAAGTTTGTATATATCTTTTTCAGTTCGATTGTTTAATTGTTCATTAGTAACAGGTGTGTATTCTTCATCACATGCCATGGGCTGAGGTTGGTTGTTTGGTTGCTGTCTTAGATCAAGGTCAGTAATTTTTACTGGTCTTGTTGACCTCACAGGATTTGTCCACTTAGCCTTTTTATCAGTGACACCAATCTCTGTTCGATCATTCAGTCCTAGGCAAAATTGTTGAAGTCCAAACAGCAAAGCAGCAATATGCTTACATGTACCATCACCACTACAAAAAAATTATGGTACTGCTATTTATATTATGAAGTCAAAATTTGCCATCTTTATTCATGCTTTGATACCTTTGCTATCGTTTAAAAAAAATACCATTTATACATGCAGAATTTTAATTTTGCGAATCGTTGAATGCTTTAAAAAATATATTATACTTTTTTAAAAATCATTACAGCTTTTCTTCTAGAGAACAGTTAGTTATTTCCGCAATCTGATAATTTTTTCTTTTAAAAACATTGGATAGAAAATTCTGATCTGTATAAATATAAAATGCTTATAGAGCAGCCAACATATAAGGAAAACACTGATATCATGTCACAACCTAGAATTATAATTTCAATCCAATGTTTTCTCAAACGTCCGCGACGAATTATTGTATAATAGATCTAGTACATACGCAACACATGTGCACTCTCCAGAGACAACTGTTCCATTCTCTTGTACCAACAGCCACATTTTGTAGGGCTCAGCTGTCTGTCGTTCCTCTGGAGTGGATGAACCTCTGATATAACAGAGATTAGAGTCGAGTTTAGACATGGCCACGTTACTAATGTGACCATTTGAATGCAAGCGGTAGCTGTTGTCGGATTTGTAATTTTTCAGTCTTTCATTTGTCCACAGGCAACTGGTTTTTAAATAATACTGAATATCATACGCCTCAATGGACGGTATTTTATCTAAACAATCATCCCATTTAATATTTGGGGAATTGGGATGTGGATATGTTACGCCATGGACAGTCCTACGTTTCAGTCGATCTGCAGATTCTTGTGCGAAATCGCATTTTGGCTGCAAATTTTGTCTACACGCTTCGCGAGCTAAGTCTAATAACTCATGTTTTCTGTAGCCCGATACCCTTATACCACGATCTGTCAAAAATTTCTTTAAATCGGGCAAAGATTTTTGCACAAGAAATGATTCGTTCTCTGCCATTATTTTAGCTACCGATTTGTTTACAAAAGTTGCCCAAGTTACGCGTCATTTTTGTGACTTCTTTTTTAAAAGAGTTCCACAATTTTGGAGTTCCGATATTCCGTATTGGTAATTGCATGTACACAGTGAATTTAAATGGATAAATGCATTAAAATGATGAGTACATCTGTCTTCATCTTTGATGATTCAGGGGTATATAGTTTTTGCCCTGTCCATTCGTCTGTTTCACTTTGTCCACAAAAACATTAACCTTGGCCATAACTTTTGAGTGGAAGGGACTATGACTGTCATATTTCACAGGTGTATTCCTTGTGACAAGACCTTTCTTCTGGTACCACAAAATTGGACCTCTTGATCTTGTTCGACCCAATTTTACAAAAAAAAATCAAACTTCTTTCGTGGCCGTAACTTTTGAATTGTTGGCACTAGGGCTTTCATACTTCATCTGTGTATTCACTGTGGCAAGACCTTTCAATGGGTAAAATATTTTAACTTTTGACTATTACCTTTGAGTTTAACCAAGTTTTCAAAAACTTTAAACTTGTCCACAACTTTTGAACTGTTAGTACTAGGGCTTTCATATTTTACAGGTACATTGTGTATTCCTTGTAATGAGACCTTCCTTCGGATACCAACATGCTTGACCTGTTGACCTTGGAGTTTGACTTGCATTGCATTTGATAAACTTTTAATCCTCACCATAAGCTGCCATAGGGGGCATCACAGTATTTCACAAACACATCTTGTTTTCTTATGTTTGTGTCAAATTGTAAATTTAAAAAAATGTAACATGTAGGCCTATTATGAAACACTCTATAGGTTTACTATTACTCATTCGTTTTACACTATATGTAAAGCTAACTTTCTTTATATCCAAAGAACAAAGCAAAATCCTAGCATCCCATAGCATATCTATAAGTCATGGCAGCATTCAAGATTTTTCCCAATGCTAATTACGTCACTTCCATTTCACACAGGACATAACACACACAAATGATTCAAGTTTAATTTAATACTTCTCAAACTAATTGATAGTTACTGGTGCTGGATTAAAATATTTTGAGTTAAAAAAAATTGGAATATATCTTGATTTTTATCAAAATTATCAAAGATTTAAGACAGCAAAAATGGGGTCACGGAGCAGGGTTGAAATTGACTCATTTACATAATAAACACTTCATAATCTTTATAGCCATACTTACCCCGGTAAACTCATATACTCTATCTATGTAATTGTATGATTTAGTTAACATTTTAGAGTCAGCAGTTGACAACAATTTTGAAAATTTGTAAGTCCCAGAGCAAAAGTGTGTTATTGTTCTTTGTGATACAGATGTATATTTACTTTACCAATTTTAATTTGTATTTCAGTTAGAGAGAATGCAAAAGAGCATCCAGCAATGAATGTAGAGGAATCAACTGATTTTGGCAATCTGCCGATTGTCGTTTGGATTCGGGTATTGGAATATTTATCACTTAAAGACAGATACAGTGCATCTCTGGCGTGTTCAAACATTTACAATGCATTTAATCACCCCACACTATGGCAGAAAGTAACACTAGATGTAGGGGGAAGCTCAGGAAAACACAGAAACTTCCACTGTGTTAAAATTCCCAAAAGAAACTTTCTTCTCGTTCGTAGATTTGCAAAAATGTTCTATGACGTTACCTTTTTTATTTGTGAGCCCTTACATGTGAGCTTTGGAGAATGGAACACTGTTTTAGAAGAACACATCAAGGATTTTAAATTGGGTCATCTAACATTGGATGTAGGTGGTTTGAGAAACAAACCAAATGTATCAGAAATGAAAATTCGTACCGAAAATATGAAGCCTATGGTAGACATAGTTAGAAATCAGTCACATTTAAAGACTTTTGTCGTAAACTCATGGCCAGTATTTGCTAACTCCTTGCAGAATCCTGATGAAAATATATTTCAAGCTGTTATTGAAAATAACAACATTAAAGGTCTGAGAAAACTAGGCTTGTTTAAATGCGATTCCACGGCTTGGTCTGTGCGAAGACCACATTTAATTTCATCAGAGTTGACTTTGAAATTGGTGGATCATTTCAAGAACTTGACCCATTTAGCCTTAAGATCGCCTATGATCACGTCAGATCTTATCTCGAGTCTATCATTGAGGGGTAGAGAGAAGCTTCAACAATTACACATAACAATTAATTTTATTCCTGAAGATGAATCCTTCAAAATGCCAACAGTGAATGAATCAGTTTGGAAAGATTTCTCAAGTTACAACACGAATGTGAAAGTGAAAGTTTTGGTTTTGTCAAGAGCACCACATTACAAACTAGAGTGTTTCCTGAGGCCTTCCTGTCCTCTCTATGAAATAAAGTTTGGAGAATATATCAGAAGTGACAAGGAATTTATCGCTTACCTGGTGGATTCTTTCAATTCGACACTGGATACATTTGAATATAACGAAGAGGATGGAGATTTTGAAAGAGAACTAGTTACTCTTGTGGAAAACTCAGACCAACTGTGTAGGTTAAAATACTGCGGCAAAATCAACTGTCAAAATGTTATACGTCTTGCGAAATTGAGAAAAAAGAACTGGGAGTCGTTTCACTTGATTAGAAAGAACATTTATAAAAAGAATGTCGAGAAGAATCCGGAAATGACCATTGACAGTGATCAAGTTATAGCGAAAAATAAGGATGGAGTGTATGTCCTTGTGGATCTAGTGAAATTTCACGAACAGGTTTCTATGTTAGACCACGAAGATGAGGAACAGATAATGATTGAGAAAGTGTCCGAATATTTGGGTCGAGATTGGTTTCCTGACAAGTTTTATCAATAGTCAATATACAAAGTTTACTGTGCGAGAGTTTACTCCCTAAAGGAAATATAATTACTGTCCAGTGAATTGTCCAAAGTTTTATATTATAGTCCATTATACGTAGTCAATTCAGAGAAGTTATTTAAGAAAAATTGACTTAGGCAACCTTCAGAAAATTGTTTGGGTGTCCTCTCCCGACTTGATCTGAAAATATTGGATGGGTAGGTACATGAGAAATTTGTTATCTCAGAAAATAATTTTATTTTAATTTCAAATCTTTAAATGTACCAAATGTTTTTTGCCCAAACGAATATTAAACAAAAGAAGAGATTTGATAAACTTGCGTAATTGTTGACAATTCATGGACATGGGAATACTCTTTGAAGCCAAAAACGAAGATCAATAAGAAATTATGTGGACTCAAAGAAAAAAAAACTATCGTCTTATTATTGTAAACGGAAGCAAGAGCTGCAATACCTGTATGTTTTGTTATTTTTTTTTCTTCAAATAATACATGTACTTGCAACCGAATGAAAGACTCTCAATGGTTACTTCCCTTACTTGTATGTTAAAATTTTACTTCCTGCAAAGGTCGATTTTCAGGGTATTTTTTTCCTTTACCTGACAATGCTGTTGCAAATTTGCAATAAGCATAGAGAAACGAATAAAATTTTGAAGAAAAAAGTTTACAGACCGTTTTCATCCCATGTATTACTAGTATCTAGATCTCAGCCATGTGAAATATTTTTTCCAAAAAGGCATGAAAACAATCAAAGAAAAATTGTGCAATACAAGATACTAGCTAGTATGTTATAAGAAGTTATTTTCATCAGTGTCTTTTGGGGCATGCATTACATGGGTTTGCTGCTGTTTTCTGGCCATGTGTACAAAGACCTTGAATACATGCGGAAAATGTAGCTTCGAATGCTTTGAAGGATTGAAAATATTGAGAATATGTCGTTTTCTTACTTAAGGTGACATTTTTGTATTTTTTATTAAACAACCCTCGTAATCAAAGGGACGTAGTGTTTAGAAATGATTTCTCAAAAAAAAAATTGAAGATCCATTCCTTCTCATACTTTGCATTCATAATAATTTAAATAATTACTTTATATATGATCTTAATGAGCAAGGCATTTAATCAATCGGTGCTGGTGTGACAAGTCTACTGTTCTCTAGAATTCATCACTCTTATAGCTGGTGAGCTCTTTCAACATTATAATATGGTATCCCCATGTATGTACTAGTATCTCCATCAATAAATGAAAGAAAAAGTGAGCTAGCTCACATACCCCACGCTCCCCCAAAACTTGACAGTGATACACATAATGAAAGGCACAGCTAGTGCACTTTAAATACATAGTATAGATCAAAAAGGGCAATACATGTAATTGCAAAAAATTTTCACATCAAAATGTCTTGCATATGAGGACATTTAAATGTGGAATGAAGTTTCTAGATAAATAATGGAATCAAAATTTCTTGGCATTATACAAATCCAAACATTAATTTGAAGTGGTTGGGGGGGGTGGGGGGAGAAATTTTCTTGAATAATAGGCAAAACTCTTTGGGATAAAATAATGGAATATGTCCTAAATATCTGCATAGGTGGAAGAAACTATGTACAACAGTTTAAGAGGAGTGGTGCTGACAAACTGTTCATCTGTATATTCAAAATATGGCCAAAAAGTCTAAGTTGGAAAGTGTGGAAATTCCCGGAAAAATAAAGGAATCGGAATTTCCTGGTAATATGCACATCTACATATTGTGTCCTAAATATCTGCAAAGTTTGACGAAATTCTGTGCTGTGGTTTATGAGGAGTTGCGCTGACAATCTGTTTATCTCTATATAAAAGGTATGGCCAAAAACCTAAGTATTTAGTGCGGAAAGTCCCAGAAAAAATAATGGAATCAGAATTTCCTGGAAATATGCACATCTACATATTGTGTCCTAAGTACCTGTAATGTTTGACGAAATTCTGTGCAGCGGTTTATGAGGAGTTGCGCTGACAAACTGTTCATCTCTATATTCAAGGTATGGCCAAATGCCTGAGTTAAAAAGTGCGAATATTCACGGAAAAAATAATGGAATTGGAATTTCCTGGGAATATGCACATCTAGACATTATGTCCTAAATACCTGCAAAGTTTGACGAAATTCTGTGCAGCAGTTTATGAGGAGTTGCGCTGACAAACTGTTCACCTCTATATTCACGGTATGGCCAAATGCCTAAGTTAAAAAGTGCGGAAATTCCCGGTAAAAATAATGGAATCGGAATTTCCTAGTAATATGCACATCTACACATTGTGTCCTAAATAACTGCAAAGTTTGACGAAATTCTGTGCAGCGGTTTATGAGGAGTTGCGCTGACAAACTGTTCATCTCTATATTCAAGGTATGGCCAAATGCCTAAGTTAAAAAGTGCGGAAATTCCCGGAAAAAATAATGGAATCGGAATTTCCTGGTAATATGCACATCTACACATTATGTCCTAAATACCTGCAAAGTTTGATGAAATTCTGTGCAGCGGTTTATGAGGAGTTGCGCTGACAAAAAAAGAGGACTGACTGACGGACTGACTGACGGACTGACTGACTGACTGACTGACTGACGGACGGGTCAAAAACATTATACCTCCCGCAACTAGTTGCGTGGGGTATAATAAAACATAACAACAAAAATAGATTTTTAAAGTTTATTGGAAAAAAATCAACAAATATTTACAATATTAAAAAAAGAACATTTATATATAATATGCCATTAGAAAAATAATAAATAAAATAAATGGATAATGAAAAGGGGGAAAATGTAAGCAAAACGTAATTAAAACTATTTACAGTGATTCTATATGAACTATGAAAGTGTAGTACCACCTACCTGTGTGACAATCTGTAGAAAAATATGATGGAAATACACCACCTAAAACCACGTCGTTAGGTACGTCACACGTCTTAGGTCAGGTGCTCAGTCACACAGGTAACAATGGAGGCTTACAAGCTCAAGGCGCCGAACATCCGTACCAAAGACTGCAACTCAATCTCCATTGGTGAAAACTGAAAAAAAATGTACAAGTAAGAAAAGTTGCAAGAATAACAGAAATATCTAGAAGAATACATTTTAAAAGTGGTTAATATTACAAAATACTAGTATACATACTAAAGCAGTCTTCTGTCTCTTCGAAAACATGAAAGGTTGGTCTGGTCTCTTGCGTTTGCGGTTGGACTGCTTCTGAAATTTACCAACATAAAATGTATAAAAAACTATCACAAAGACAGGTATTACTCTCTGTTATTTACTTTCTATATCTGTTTTTAATAACGACTATTTTCCAATACCTCAGCTTCTATCGACTGTGTCTCTGTGCATATGCCCCCTTCTGCTTTGTCCTCCACCAATCTCTTAATCACCTTGTCATCTGTCACCTGAAAAAATAATTTACTGACTTTTATTTTTTTTCTTTTCTCCTTCTAGGCACGTTTCAAAGAGACATAAAATAGCATCTCAATTGCTGACTCTCCATTACCTTGTCTACACGTATCTCAAACATTTTAAAGGTTATTCTTACTGAGAATTTTTTAAAACTTTGTTTATTGGAGTAAACGATACTAGTTAGTGATACTTTTAATTACACCTACCCTGTCAGTGGCAGTTTCAGGCTCATCGGAGGAAGAGTCGACAGGGGTCTCAGCACGCGGAGAGGAACCGCCAATGGAGGATGGTGTGGGTTCCACCTCAGCAGCTGGGGAGGGTTCCCCATCAGACCCAGTGGTAACATCTGTCGGTTCCTCACGGAGCCCAGTGTCAACAGCGAGAGAGGATGGCTCAATCTCCTGTAAAATAGGTAATAAAGTGTGCTGTTATGTGTGTGCTTACAAAAATAATACTTCATAACCCACCTAACTTCAATAAAACAGATGATAAAGATGAACTATTTCTTTTCAAAACAAAGTAGATGTACTAAGCAAGTCAGATGTTGTATATGTTTAGCATAAGGATTGTGGATAAGCTTACATCAACAGCAGCCTTGGCCTCTAGGTCTACTGACTGCTATTGTAAGAAAATAAAAAAGAAGGATTTGGATTGTTGTAAATTTGGTAACATATGACCAGGGATATTTTCCTAACTCAAGCAGCCATTTTTTAAACTTTATAAACAAAGGTCAAATAAAGAAAGTAAAGACTTTATGGAAATCATAACCCTCTCTCCAAAGAAGAATTATAATCCCAACCCCAAATTTTAAAAGAAATGTGATATGGAAAAAATCTCTTTCATGATGACTTTGAGCGTAAAATATCAACATCTATTGCAATTAAAAAAACATATTTGTATTATATTTGGAATAATATCTAACATGCAGTCCTAAGATTTATGATTAAAAAAAATTAATTTACCTTTGGCATTTTACCCATATTTCCACACTGCTGCCTGCCTGCTCTTTCTCTCTGATCTATTGTATTGCTGACTCAGGAGAACTCGGCGACTGCAGTTTGGACTCGTTTTGTTTCTATGGAGTTTTTTGCCGTTTGATGTTGTTTGTTTGATGATTTGCTTATTGTCATCATTTATTTATTTGTGGAAAGTATTTTTATCTCGAAAAACCGCACATTTTACGTAAAATTATGGGTACATATCACTGCCACATTTAAAGGACTGTGTAGCTAGTCTGATAAACATATGAATGTTACAAATATCATGATGACAGAGGACGGTTCTACAATTATTCTTACCTTTCTGGTCCAAACCTAGTCCCTGCTCCAAACTCGGTTGGTACGCCAATAAGTCTTCAAAAACTTCGGTGGCTCAGGCTGTGAAATAAGTCTTCTTATTATAAAATTGAATCATTTAATTTGACTGGTATTATCTATGTATAGGTTGAAAAAAATATGGCTCAGAAATAAGAATGGGACACCCAGGAACGTTCATTACTAGTACCTGTTTTGTTACTAAGACAGGTGGCGCCTTCGTGGGTTGGTCACTGGTCACCGGCGTAGTGGGTGGTACCCTCGGCTGCTGGGTCTTCTCCTAAAATACGACGAAAAAGGGTTTAATTTCTGCATTAAACCTCCATCATAATATATCTCCGGTCTCTTTAAACAAATCGTTGTATTGTTTATACATATTTATATATGTAATTATTTTGTTAGAGAAACAAAAATGCATTTGAAAATCAGTAAGCTTTTTTTTTCGAATTGCCCCATCCCCTTTCAAATACATTTAATTGATGATGTGCATTCACCTCTCTTGTCCATTTTTGATCCCTCCGCCAGACTTTGTTGTATCGCCATGTTATCTTCCGCCGTTTGGGTACAGCCTACAAAACAGAAGAAAATCTGTAGGACATATTTACTGTACACCATTACTATTAATAATATATATAAATCAATGTATTAACCTTTTTACATAAAGTCAATATAAGTCGGTATACCCCACCTCGTCAGGTTTCCCAGATGGTGTGTCTCTGGTCTCTGATGAGCCCTTGTCTGGATCTTCACCAGTCTGTAATATATGATAGAAAACAAGCTAATTCAGAGAATTTGTGTCCCCCGCTTAGGGAAAAAGTAAACCATGCGCAGTTCGGGGGGAGGGGGGACCCCCTTGACTGAATTTGTAGAATTA